GATGTGCGTGATCTGGCCTGACAACTACGCTGCACATGGGGTCGGTTGAGGTCGGACGCCGTCAAGCGCGTAGTGAGGGGCATCGACACTTGCGAAGGTCGGGTGTGTCCAAGCTCGACCAGACGGTCTCTCGTTTCCCCAAACTCGGAGCTGCGGAAGAAAGGCTCTGCGTTGAGGAATTAGGGGGCGATATCGCAGATAGGGGAGCGCTCGGCGAGCTCATTGTACAGTGGCAGAAAAGCAGGCCAAGGACCTCGATGAGCAGTATATGCATGCCAAACGCGATGAAAGCAACCGAAAATACTGCCTGCCATAATTTCCGGCGACACGCTGTAGAGCCTCTTGCTGAATTCAGACGATTTGCTGTTGTTGACGTCGATGATGTGCTTGAGCGAGACGGCATTGGGGTCGTCGGTGCCGCTCACATTGAAACGTCCTCCGACTACGATTGCCATCTCGTCCGTCTGCGCAAGACGATGCGAAGAAGCTCGAGTGTGCGCCAAGGGCAGATATCCGCAGTCGGCTTCGGCTAGACCAATCACCTGTTCGTGCGAACGTAGACGCAGCTGTCCACCTATCAACCGCGCGTACTTGTCTTGATCATCCAGACTATACATGGCGATTATGATGCTGAAAGACATCAATCTGCAAACGGTTTGCTCCAAGTTTGGTCCAACGGTGCGCAAGGCTTCGGCCAAGGGACGCGGTAAACGGAGCAACGTAGCAAAGTGGAGCCATCCCGGGTCGGCCAGTGCCGGAGCGCACGGCTCGCGATGAAAGGTCTGCACAGTTGATCCGCTAGGAAAATTGCTGAGCACTTGACGGTTGTCACAAAGAATTCCCGTCGCCCTGGACAAAGAGACAGCTTGCAAGTGCAGCGAATAAAGAGAAGGACTTCCGCTGACGATCTCGTCGGATCTCGGTCGTCTAGGCTCGAGTCCGATCAGGTACGATCCATCTCTCCATCCATCTGAGTAGCTACTATACCAACTTCGCCAAAACCAGACTTTTTTTGGATCGCCATTGTTCAGCAGACGTTGTGGGCCGGTATTGGTGATGCTATGATCGAAGAGGACGTGCAAATGATTCGCACGCGCCTCTTGCTCGCTCTGTCTGAGAATGTGGTGCAGCAGGTGTTGCTTATCATGTATGACCTTGTAGAAATGAAACGTGTTGCTCGCGTCCACCAGGGAACCTTGATACCCCTGGATATGAGCCGCGGGACCTTTGGGTGATCCGGCCAGATCTGCAAGAGGCACATTGCTCAGCGTGCCTCCTCTGGCTGAGAACATGTCAAATGCGAGTATCAGCTTGCGACGCAAAGGTGGCAGGAAAGATGCATCCATCTTGATCGACGATCCTGGTGATCGTGGCACGGCGCTCGTTGGTCCAAGAGCTCAAAGCTGATGAATGCCTCTCTACTCGTGACGCAAGTCAGTACAAGAGCAGCGAGCGATC